GCCCTGGGTGGTCTTAGATGGTCATAGGTGGCCCTAGACAGTCTTGAGATGGTCCTGGACAGTTTTAGATGGTCCTAGGTGGCTCCAGCTAGTCCTAGACCATCCTAGATGGCTGTAGACAGCCCTAGGTGGCCCTAGATCATCCTAGATGGCCCTGGGTTGCCCTTAGATGGTCCTAGGTGGCCCCAGCTGGTCCTAGACAATCTTAGATGGCCCTAGACAGTCTTAGATGGTCCTAGGTGGCCCCAGCTAGTCCTAGATATTCCTAGGTGGTTGTAGACAGCCCTAGGTGGCCCTAGACAGCCTTCCATCATCCTAGATGGTGCTAGGTCATCTTAGAATGTTGTAGATGGCCCTGGACAGCCCTAGATCATTTTAGATGGCCCTGGGTGGTCTTAGATGGTCATAGATGGCCCTAGGAGGCCCTGGATCATCCTAGATGGCCCCAGACAATCTTAGATGGTCCTGGACAGTCTTAGATGGTCCTAGGTGGCCCCAGCTAGTCCTAGACAATCTTAGGTGGCCCTGATCAGCTCTAGGTGGCCCTAGACAGCCTTAGATCATCCTAGATGGCCCTAGAGGATGTCACATGCAATGAGCAGGGTGGGAACAACCTCTCTAGGAGGAAAGAGCCTTTGCACCTGGAAGATGCCCAGGACTGAGGTCACCCTGCCCATGAGCAGCAGGGCTGGACAAACCACCCCCCCAACTCCACCCCAGGGTTCATGGTAGTGACAGCTCCTTCTTCCTCTCTCCAGGTGGTGGAGGCTTATAAGCAAGGTCTGAGACCTGCTGTGGGCTACGAGCTCAACCCCTGGCTGCTGTGGCTCTCCAGCTACAGGGCCTGGAGGGCTGGGTGCCATGGGAAGGTGTCCTTCCTGAAGAAGGATCTCTGGAAGGTAACAGCATCCCCAGGGGCTGTGCCTGCAGCTTCACTGGTGCTTACTGGTTCCTTCCCTGCTCCTGCAAGGTGGGAAACCCACCCTGCTTGCCATGGAGACACCAGCCTGGGCTGCTGGGTTTGCAGGAGGGGGGTTTGGCTCCTTCTCAGAGCAGCTTTGAGGAGGTCTTGGCTGATGCCTGGTGGCCTTCAGAGACCGCAGGAGATAATCCAGCAGGGAATGTGGTTCTGGGATGGTTTTGCCCAAGGAGCTGCTTTCACACCAACACATCTCATCCCACACGTCCTGGGGCACCTCAGCTTCCTCCCAGGTTCAGC